GGATGGGGCGGGGGCAGCCCACGGTGGGGTGTCAGCGTCCTCCCCATGGGTGCAGGAGGGGCGAAGGGTGGCGGGTGCCAGGGGGGCAGCGGGGGGAGCAGGAAGACTGAGGATGGGGGACACCCGGCCAGGCGGGGTGGCTCCAGTGCTGGTGGGCACCTGGCTGCCTTCAGGCTCGCTCTGGGTGCCCCCGCGCCCACGGGTGGCCGTGCCCTACCTGAGATGGCTGCGGAGGTGGCAGCACCCACCTCTCCCCTCTTCCAAAAGGGCTCGGCTGATGCCCCTCCGTTCAGAGGGAGCCACGAGGCCGGGGGCTGACGGTGCCCCCACCCCGGCCAGCCTGGAGGGGCTCCGCTTACCCAGCACGGGGGCCGGCGGGGCACCCCGGGAGCCCCCACAAGGACACACACACGCTAGCCACCATGTCCTCGCCTTGTGCTAGTCCTGGCAGAGCAGCGGGACACCAAGAGGCACCAGTGTCACCCGCTGGGGACAGGGACGGGCAGGGATGTGTCACGTCACACCCAGCGCTGCCGCGGTCCTGCTGGACCCGCTCCACCGCCCGGCAGTCCCCGCAAGAGGACGGTCCTGCCAGGACCCGCGTCCGCTGCGGTGAGCCGCCGCCGACCCCGCCAGCACAGGGCGGTGGGGAGGACCCGCGGGGTGCGACCCCGCTGGGTGACCCCACTCGTCACCCCCCAGGAGCTGCCCCGAGCCCCTGCGCTCCATGGGGCTCCCAGGTGGGTCTGTCCCCGCTTCGGGGAGCCCCTGTCCCGGTAGCCTCGGCCCCGGGGGAGTGGGCAGGGGTCCGGCACATGCATCCCGGGGGGAGGCAAAGGGAGATGCAGACACCGCGGCGATGCTGCTGGCACCGCTCCTGCCAGGTTGGCTGGCCCAGGGAATGCCACCTGCCCAGGACGGGCACAATGGCGCTTGCTCCATCCCTTATCCCCCCAGGGACCCCAGCGCTGGGCACAGGGCTCACGGGGGTCCCGGACCAGTCCTGATGCCCTGGGTCAGCCCGGCTGGAAGGGGATGCTCTGGGGCTCAGCATCCCCC